TTAATCCATTCACTACAGCACGGTCCTACAATCTAATCGCAAGCTCAAGGATTAATAACATGCAGACTCTGAAGAATACTAAAGTATTTAATGGGAGCACTGATGGGGAAGATACATAAGATTTTAAATAGAAAAGTAAACGTCACCCACATTCCATGACCTAGAGATAACCATGGCAAACACTCAGGTGTGTTTCCTTCCAGGTTTTTCCAGAGCGTTGCTGTGATCATACTGCTGAGCCCACCCAGTCTGCTTCTGGGTGGGTGGGCATTACAGGTGTACAGGAAAGATACTTCATGCTGAGCCCTCCCTGGACTCATTTGCTCCTTGAGAGGGTGATAGTTCCTCCGGTTTTATTCTGCGCTCAGAGGCAGGACAAACCTGGCTTTGAGTAGCCGGGACCCATCTCCCAGGTCCCACCTCCCAGGGAGCGAAGGCTGCTAGCCACCCCTTCTCCTCTTCCTGGATGCCCCACCCTCTTTTGATCTGTTTTTCCATTAGGAATTCAGAGCATTTTTCTGCTTTTCTCCTTCACAGGAAGGGCCAGAGGCTGCTGACTCTGCCATTACCAGCGAAAACTAGCATACTTGAGCAGCTGCTCCCATCGATTACCTAGCAAGCAGCGCAGGATGCAGTAAAGTCACATGAGGGCACTGGTAGCCAGGGCTTCACTTTACAAAGTCAGCGTCTCTTCTCTAGTTGGTACTGAAGCACTTGAAGATGTCAGGAAGGAGCTGGCTTTGGTCCTTCCTGTCCCACCACTGGCCCTGTGTGGCTTCCTAGCGTAGGACATAACCTTTCCTCGGAGGGAGCTGATTGTGTCCTATCTGCTAACGGCTTTTCCCCTGGCACTGGCTGACATGCCTGGAATGTCTCTGTGCCCTTGTCTGTGCGGGTCCTATGCACTTGTGCATGCACCACTCCATCCTCCCTCCACTGGGAGCCTTGTCCTCACTCCTGCCCCTCTGCTCTGAATTCCCTGGGCACACGCAGTCCCCATGGGTGCCAACATTAAGGCTAGACTACTGAGGCCCCTGCTCTGGGCTTGGCTTCAGAAGGCTTCCCTCTGGCCCTCCTCATGCCATGATGCTCTCTGAAGGGCACCGTCTGTTTCTAGGCTACATTCCATGTACCCGAGACACCAGAGTTCACCACACAAGTGATGTCTGACTCCTTGCCAGGTCCTGAGTAGCTGGTGTGTGGCCACAGGGGATGGCTGCTTGAGAAGGATGGAGTGGGGACTTGGATGTGTGGACCGGCTTGTCAATGCACATGTGTGCAAAGCCCCCTTGGGGGGTGGAAAAAGGCAGGGAAGGGGAGAAGGGTAGTCCCCGGGTCAGGGGTCTTTATTTGTGCATCTTTGGGCTCTGCAAATGGTAGGGGTACTGGTCCCCAAACACTCCTTCCTGTCTTGCCTTATTCTCTAGGCAACAGAGATGGAATCCTTCTGAGGGCAAGAATCCGCCTTATCTTTTTTACATCTTCCATCCTGTCTAGAGGCTCTGACTGTAGGGGGAACTGGCTGTGGCCACCTGGTGAGGACTCTGGCTGCATGGGCACTAGCTGGTTCTCCCCACATCCCCCTTCTCAGAACATTGGCCAAGTGTATTAGTCTGTTTCTGTTGCTTATAACAAAATACTTGGAACTGGGTAATTTATAAAGAAAAACAAAATTTATTGCTTACAATTTCTGAGCCTGGGAAGTCCAAAGACCATCTGGTGCTGGTGACAGTGATCCAGGGGTCTCACACTGCAAG